GCACCATTGAGGATAAAAACTCAGCAGAAGTTTTGCTCACAGTCCATAAAGGAGTTAATGGTGTGGTATACCAAACTGATATCCATAGAGAAGCCGTGGAAGAGCTCATTGACACTGAGCCTCAGAGTATTTGGGTGAATCCCACACCTGGTTACGCTCTGGGAGAGCCCCAGGTTGTTGTGTTGGGTACCTCCATAAGAGAGGAAGCCTCTTTAAGAAGCACCACCTCTGAGGCATCAGTAAATGAGTGTCTCCATGTCCCCAGGAAGGTCTTATGTGTGGAATCAGGCTGTCTATTTATAACAGACCTGCTGAAGGAAATGTTAGTCTTCTGGAGTGTACAGCCGGTGTATACCATACTGTCTCTTCCATGTTCGGGAGAGCTGGTACAGTGGAGTCCCGCTAATCGGAGCTGGGTATTACAGGCTATACAAAACAAAGATGGTCAATATAGGAATTCTGTGATACCATCCTTGTTGGTGATGTGAAAATTGTCTTTCAGTGCATTGCTGGGTTGCTTCATAGCAGTAATCTGTATGAGAGGCACACCAGAGTACTGTTGGACAGGACAGAGGTTTGGGCAGAAGTGCCGGAAGACGCATGTAAATGTGATGTGGTTGGGGTCGTCTACCCAAATGCAGAATTATGTAAGGAAGGTCACTCTGGAAAAGTTTTCCAAAGGTCCACTAAACGCCCAAGTTATAAGAATGAAAGGTCTAAGGGAAATGGCCCAAAGCTTAACGAGGGGATGTTAAAAGAGTTTGATGCCACAATAAAAGAGCCCATGTCTGTTACTAAAGGGTTTAAAAATATATCCCCTGTAAAAGTAAATGAAGCAAAAAGGGATGGTCCAGAGGAATTTGAGAGAGCACGTTGTAATATGACAGGTACCAGGCATTTAAAGCTTAGGAGTCAACCCCAGATTTCAAAGGGTACTGAGATTTGTAAACCCCCTAGTGGTAAAAGGACTAGCATAGTCTTAAGAAAATTAGAAAGACCGCGCTTTTGGAAGCGCACTCGTAAAAAGGCACGGGGAAGTAGTAGAGCCCAAGTTAGGGGAGACAGGGGAAGTCACCTCTTGGGGCAGGGAGTAGTGTCTCCCTTTGATGAAAATAAAGTCAGCCAGGATTGGACCTTTACAGGTGATAGCCCACACAGAAGGTCTAAAGCAAGGGTTTTAGGTTTTTGTGTTCCGCCCCCTACGGGGTCAAAACAAAGGGGGGGGATATGTGGCAGTGCGGTGTCCTGCCACGGTCAAACTCAAGTCGAAAACCCTGGATTCTCAACCAGGCAGGTTGAGGGGCTCCAGAGAGTTAATGTATTGCAGAGGAAACTGACTTTTCGGTTTCCTCATTTATTCAGTAAGTTTGTTTTGGGATCTGGAGCCTGGAGATTTCGAAGAGATCTGGGAGGGATGAAATCTCCAATCCGGGGTCCATGTTTTGAGAACCCCCAGCACACTGATTGCACAGGTGTGTGCAGACCTTTTTGTAGAGGCCTAACCATAGTTCTGGGCTCCACCCCAGCAGTTAGGAGTCAGGCGGGCTCCACCCCGGCAAACGGAGTCAGGAGGGCTCCACAACGGCAGGCAGGAGGTCTCTGCCTTGGGGTCAGGTGGAAGCCAGACTAGCTGTGCTGGTGCTATATTTTTGGAAGAGTCTGCAGGAGGCAGACTTAAAACTGCTTGCAAGCCAGGAGGCTGAATACTATTAATTTGCTTGATGATGGATACCCCTGCGTGGGAAGAATTCTTGTTTATTTGAACTTTCTTGTAAATAAAATTGGGCAAAAAGGCCCTTAAACAGATGTGAGTTGCTGTGTGTTGAAGAAGAGCTCTACCACTTGAAGCGAGTTCCCACACTAGGTTCAACATAGAAATTAAGTATGCACCATGTTTCAAAGTAAGTGTGCATTTAACTCACAGATTGCATATATTCAGTAAGTAGTTTGACTTAAATTGACCGATCACCTCCCTAGCATGGTTCACTTTTAAGTTTTATGGGGAAAGAGTAAGAAATGGAATGTAGGAAAAGAGTAGAAATAGAGTGGTAGTTTTCTCTGTTCAGATATGAGGGAGAGAAGAAAAGGGAAGGAATGGAAAGGAAGATCTTACGTGTAAGAAACAAATATGGGAATCATGTAAGAGCTGCCACCCTCCAATAGAAATTCAATACCAATTCTCTCCAGTGTAAGGACTGGATGATGTATTGTCTTTAACTAGTAGACATTTTAAATTAAAATGTGCACATAAAAAAAAATAAATAGAAAATCTCTGTATACAGAATCCTATACCCCAATTTGTAACAAAAAAAAACTCCTTTCTAATCCCATGAAGGTAATCAGATATTTCCTGGTTCAATATATTACCTATAAATGTTAAAATGCAGTTATGTTTTGTGCATTTAGGAATGTATCTTTTTTTAAAAACAATTTACTGAGCTGACCATAGTTATTTCTTGATGCACTCTATTCCACAAATGGAAAAAGCTCTAGTATTTTCAGTACCAAGTGATCATGGAATTTTCTTCACTAAAGCAAGAAAGCATCGCATGGAAACATTTATTTCAAGTAAAGATAACAATGTTAGTGTCTTTTGCTTCTACTTTGAAAAAATGTTTTCTTCTGCCAACACATGATTTATACTATAAATGAAATGGGGAATGAGTTTTTATCTTGTATTAATTCTTTCCAGAATTTTGTTGATAAATGTGAAAATCTATGGATGATCCAGTACCACCAGTCAATTGTTAGTTTCAGATTTTTCCTGGAATTCATTGCACACAAAAGAAGTACATGTAGTTATGACATAACCTTGTAACCTTGTTTGAGGGTTCTGTTGAAGAACTGAGGAAGTGGCTTGGAGAAGCAAACACAATAGGTTTTATTGTTGTTTTTATTAACTTTGTATACATTATATTATATATATATATATATATATATATATATATATATATATATATATATATATATATAGTTGTGTTCAAAATAATAGCAGTGTGTTGAAAAAGTGAATAAAGCTCAAAATCCTTCTAATAGCTTTTATTTCCATACACACAAATGCATTGGGAACACTACACATTCTATTCCAAATCAAAACATGAAGAGAAATATATCAAATTTGTGTTGCTCCTCTAAAAAAATTTAAGAAAAGTGAATATTAGACTGTTCAAAAAATAGCAGTGTTTGTATTATTCTTTACAAACTCAAATATTCACTATATAAACTGAAAAATGTTTGAAGATTTTGCTTTCCTTTGAATCACTTAATTAATATTTAGTTGTATAAGCACTGTTTCTGAGAATTGCTGTACATCTGTGTTGCATGTAGTCAACCAACTTCTGGCACCTGTGAACAGGTATTCCAGCCCTGGATGATTGGACTACATTCCACAGTTCTTCTCTATTTCTTGGTTTGCCTCAGAAACTGCATTTTTGATGTCACTCCACAAGTTTTCTATTGGATTAAGATCTGGGGATTGGACTGGCCACTCCCTAACGTCAATCTTGTTGGTCTGGAACGTTTATTGGTGTGTTTAGGGTCGTTGTCTTGTTGGAACACCCATTTCAAGGGCATTTCCCCTTCAGCATAAGGCAGCATGACCTCTTCAAGTATTCTGATCTATTCAATCTGATCCATGATCCTTGGTATGCGATAAATAGGCCCAACACCGTAGTATGAGAAACATCCCCATATCATGATGCTTGCACAACCATGCTTCACTGTCTTCACAGTGTACTGTGGCTTGAATTCAGTGTTTGGGGGTCGTCTGACAAACTGTCTCCGGCCACTAGACCCAAAAAGAACAATCTTACTTTCATCAGTCCACAAAATGTTGCGCCATTTCTCTTTAGGCCAGTCAATGTGCTCTTTGGCAAATTGTAACCTCTTCAGCACATCTTTTTTTCAACAGTGGGACTTGCGGGGGCTTCTTGCAGATAGCTTGGCTTCACATAGGCGTCTTCTAATTGTAACAGTACTCACAGGTAACTTTAGACCTTCTTTGATCTTCCTGGAGCTGATTGTTGGCTGAGTCCTTGCCATTTTGGCTAATCTTCTATCCATTCAAATGGTAGTTTTTCGCTTTCTTCCACATCTTTTAGGTTTTGGTTGCCATTTTAAATCATTTGCGATCATTTTAGCTGAGCAGCCTATCATTTTCTGCACTTCTTTATATGTTTTCCCCTCTCCAATCAACTTTTTAATCAAGGTACACTGTTCTTCAGAACAATGTCTGGAACGACCAATTTTCCTCAGAATTTCAGAGAGAAATGCACTGTAACCAGCATGTACAACATTTGCTGCCTTCCTTCCTTAAATAAGGGCAATAGTTTCCACCTGTTTTTCAAAGAATGAATAGAACTCCACACTGCTATTATTTTGAACATGCCCCTTTCAATTAGTGATTCAATTACACAGAATCAACAGCATGCATGTCATGACTGTTGGGTCTGTTGGATTTCTATTACTCTACTACACCTGCTAGTAAATTATTTGTAGAAATCTCATATCTACCAAAAACAGTGATTGATCAGGTTCGTGATGTCTGACTGCTATTATTTTGAACACAACTGTGTGTATATATATATATATATATATATATATATATATACACACACACTATATTGCCAAAGGTATTGGGACGCCTGCCTTTGCATGCACATGAACTTTAATGGCATCCCAGTCATAGTCCATAGGGTTCAATATTGCGTTGGCCCACCTTTTGCAGCTATAACAGCTTCAACTCTTCTGGGAAGGCTGTCCAGAAGGTTTAGGAGTGTGTCTATGGGAATGTTTGACCATTTTTCTAGAAGCGCATTTGTGAGGTTAGGCACTGATGTCGGTGGAGAAGGCCTGGCTCACAGTCTCCGCTCCCAAAGGTGTTCTATTGTGTTGAGGTGAGGACTCTGTTCAGGCCAGTCAATTTCCTCCACCCCAAACTCTCTCATCCATGTCTTTATGGACCTTGCTTTGTGCACTGATGTGCAGTCATGTTGGAACAGGAAAGGGCCATCCCCAAACTGTTCCCACAAAGTTGAGAGCATGAAATTGTCCAAAATGTCTTGGTATGCTGATGCCTTAAGAGTTCCCTTCACTGGAACAGATAAGTTTCTTCACAGTAAGAGCTGTGAAAATGTGGAATAGACTCCGTCAAGCGTTGGTTCTGGCTAGCTCAGTGGATTGCTTTAAAAAAGGCCTGGATTCTTTCCTAGATACACACAATATAACTGGATACTAACATTTATAGATAAAGTTGATCCGGGGAATATCCGATTGCCTCTTGGGAGATCAAGAAGGAATTCTTTCCCCTGCAGGAGCAAATTAGATCATGCTTTGCTGGGGGTTTTTCCTTTCTTTGGATCAACTGTCGGTATAGGATTATAACTTTTTTTTTGTCTTTTTTATCGTTTAACTGGATGGACTTTTGTCTTTTTTCAGCCAGACTAACTATGTAACTGTGAACTAAGGGGCCAAGCCTAACCCCTGAAAAAACAACCCACACATAATTCCTCCTGCACCAAACTTTACACTTGGCACAATGCAGTCAGGCAAGTACCGTTGTCCTGGCAATCGCCATCAGATTGCTAGACAGAAAAACGTGATTCATCACTTCAGAGAACACATCTCCACTGCTCTAGAATTCAGTGGCAGTGTGCTTTACACCACTGCATTTGATTCTTTGCATTGCACTTGGTGATGTAAGGCTTGGATTCAGCTGCTCGGCCATGGAAACCCATTCTATGAAGCTCTCTACACACTGTTGTTGTGCTAATCTGAAGGACACACAAAGTTTGGAGGTCTTCAGCTATTGACTCTGCAGACAGTTGGCGACTTTCCTGTTTTTCCCAGTTGCTTCCACTTTGTTATAATACCACTAACAGTTGGCCATGGAATATTTAGTAGCAAGAAAATTTCACGTATAAACTTATTGCACAGGTGGAAACCTATCATGGTACCACACTTGAATTCACTGAGCTCCTGAGAGCGACACATTCTTTCACAAATATGTGCACAAAATTTGCACTTGGAAAAAAGAGAAACTAAAAAACAGCAGCTGAACACCATACCGATACCAGGCAATCAAAAAGTGTACAACAACAAGTGCAACGCTCTGTTCATCAAAATATCAACCATCCAAAATTAAAGCAATCAAAATGTCCACTATATAATGATTAAACTATGCCAATAGAAGGTATTATAATAGTGATAAAGATAATAAGTCCCACATGCTGTGATGTAAACAGGAAACTTCCAGAGATAGCCAAAGTGACACCATCCACTCCCATGCAAGGCTTACCGGAAGGATTGGGACCCCTGCTAAGAGTGGTCAAACCACGCTCTTTAATATATTATAGATGACATCATAAGCATTGGATGGTTATCCTCCAAAACAGGCTCCAGATAGTGGCAAGCAATATCCGTAAAAGTGCTTCTTTATTTGGTAATGGCTCAGTTAACACACTGGAAGTGTCTTCTTCCCATCTCTAGTTATGTGACATGTCTTTCTGTAGGGGGTCAAATAATTATTTTCTTCACTGTTTGTGTATGTGTGTGTGTGTGTATATATATATATATATATATATATATATATATATATATATATATATATATATATATATAATATTTATATATATATATATATATATATATATATATATGTATATATATATATGTATATATATATATATATGTGTATATATATATATATATGTGTGTATATATATATATTTAATTTTTTTTTTGCCTTCACCTTTGAAACTTTTTTTTTTCATTCTAAATGACAAGGTTGCTTTAAAGCTGAACTCCGGCCAAATCTTTTTTTTGCCACTTGCACTGTAAAAATAGATCCACACTTATGAAGTGTATCCGATGCATCTAGGCCACATGATTTTGTACAACTCTGGCTTTCACTTTTCAATTAATGCTAGGAGATCTATGGGGGAGATTGTGATGATATTAAAAAGATGCAAGATGTTTACTAAATGGGGGGGGACTGGGGTGCAAGCAACCAATTTTGATCTGAGTACTCCAGCCAGAACTGTAACTCACAGTGCTGGACATTCAACACTGATTGCCCTGCAAAGTCAGACTTGTACATACCACTGCAACCTAGATACATGGGAAACAGTATGGTTGATTTACTAAAACTGGAGAGTGCACAATCTGGTCCAGCTCTGCATAGAAACCAATTGGCTTTTCAGGTTTGTCAAAGCTTAATAGAACAAGCTGAAACTAGAAGCTGATTGGCTACCATGCACAGCTGCATCAGATTTTGCACTCTCCAGTTTTAGTAAATAAACCCCATTGCATTAGTATAGGTTTATTTTTACAGTGCTCGTGTCAAAAAATAGTATTTGGCTGGAGTTCAGCTTTAACGACTGTTAACAGAGCATATGTGTTAAATTGTAGAAAATTGTTTGGTGATGTACACAGATCTGTTAGACATAGTTGTTACTATTGCATATCTGTTATTATAAACAAGCACTTCACTGTTTGTCTAAAAACATGTGCTTTTAAAATGATGAGACATTTCTGCAAAAATAAATTGGTTAAATTTTTTTTGCTGAATTCATTATGCTGGGTGATGAGGAAGGGGCTTGTGAATATATAATTACAGCCATGTGAATTAATTCAGCGCAGCAGGCAGCCAAGCCGGCTGAACCTTTAATATAAATATGTTCATTTTCAAATCAACACAGCAGGTTTCTCTCTGGCTTTGTTGCATATTTCACTAATGTAAAGATGTGCATGTCCCTTACTGAAAATTTCATGGCCATCTTTCAAACATCTGTTATGCACAATGGAAGCAGACATGGAAACTATTTTCCCAATCTGTGTACTATCAAAGGACTGTGATGAGCTCTAGACAATATTGTGGAAATAAAAGAAATGTTAGGGCTGCAGGGTAATGCAAATGGATTAATGCTGTAGCTTGATGCATTGGATTTACACAGTTATTTTTGCTTGTGAAATATTGAAATACTATGTTGCCATTTGTGAAATGAAGCTAGTGAGCCATGAAGATATATTGCTGAAATAAATTAGATAAAAAGCCAATTTGGTAGACAGGTAAGGCCCTGCAACAGTCTTGGTAAGATCACAACATAAACGTACAGTATGAACCAAACAAAGATCATCAAAAAGGAGGATTAGCTTTACCTTTCCCTCACAGCTTAACGTGGATCTACACCCAAATATTACCTTAAGTAATCCATAGTGTCCATATATTAGAAGCTGCTGTAGAGAAAGGATTAAGAAAGTTGATAACTTCATGGGAGAGATTAGGGTCAGTTAGAGAAATTGCACTTGAATTTCTGATCCATAGCTCTTTGGGCAATTAACCTCCCTTTTGTTTATTTTATGATTAGGGATTTGTTGTTGATTTGAGGTCAACTTTTACTTTTACCTGCTGTCTTACTCATGGCAAACTTTTTTTTTTATTTTTTGCTTCAAAGCTTCCCTTAAAAAAAACAAAACAGAAAAAAAATTGGCTTTTGTTTCGGGAGTGGTATTATTGTGCACCTAAACAAGCTAAAGTTTGATATCACTACACCCCTCTATCCCTATAGATAAAATAAATGACATGCATGGATCAGACCTATTATACATTGTAACGGACCGCCTGACGGCACCACTAGCACTCCACTGGTCAGGTGTCCCCAGAGTGTGGAATCTAAGCCCCAGAGTACCTGTTCACCAGGGCCCCTGATGGTGGGGATGGACTTAGAGTACCCCGAGACCAGGTCGCGACTGAGTACGCCCATCAGTGGTAGTGGTAGGGGTGTTCGCCAGGGGCTCCAACAGGGGAGAGCCTGATATGAGGAGGTCGGGTGACCCCGATGGGATGGATGGCCGAGCAAGTGCGAGGTCAGACAAGCCGGGTCGGTAGCCGTGAGGACGGTGCGGTACAAAGCGGAGGGCAGAGAATAGTCGGGTCACACGCCGCGGCTCCTAGTGCGCGCATGCGCGAGTTCGGACGCTGCGGTCGTCCTGGACCTAGTGCCCGCGTCCCTGCACCAGGCGGCGCACTGCGCCTGCGCCGGGACCAGCGCTGTGGGGATCCCTGACATACATATTAAGTCTGTCCTGGTACTGGCCAGTTTTACACTGCTATATCCTGTGCAGTACCTTAGTTCTTGTAGAAAAGCTCCAGCTTATGCTCCTTGTCTCTAGTAAATTTGGGTCTGGCCTTGCTCATTATAATTGCTGCTGAAAAATATACACTGCTGTGTCATCTGCGGCTGTTCTCATTCCTGTAATAAAACATGTGTTTGTACCTTTTCTGGGATTGATTTAATAAAGGAGTATAGGCTGTTCACTTGAAAAAGTGAATTTTCACTTTGCAAATGAATTTTCACTTTGCTTAGTGAATGAGGTGAATCTGTACTGACTTCAACTATCCAATCATGCACAAGCAAAAATCCTGTTGTATGTGACTGGGTATTCTTTGCAAAGAATTTTCATATTCAATAAGTTCACTAAGCTAAGTGAACATTTGCTTGTGAGTTGAAAATGCATTTTGCAAAGTTAACATGCTATACTCCATTAGTAAATCAACCCCATTTGTCTCTAGTATATTTCAGCCAATTCCCCCTCAATAAAATTGTCCTACTTCTGGCCGGTTCTGAACTGCTTTATCATCTGCTGTCTCTTAATACTTAATGAGAGTTTATTAGAAATTGTCCAGCAGCAGGACAGTGTTGCATTAAGAACATGAACAGTCTCCAAGAACATCTGACCAATTGCTATTTGCTTGTCAAAGTAGGACTATTACCATTTGATGAAAAGGCATGTATTACTGCTAAATCTACCTAAAAAAGTGTTTAAAACTTAAATAAATCATGTTGAGGTGCTGCTGCTGTATGTGCGCTGAGCTAATTGTAAAAGAAAAAAAATTCAATTCTGCAGCCACATATACTAGTGTATGCTATCACTTATAGTTGGATTTGTGCATTTTGGATGGTGTCCATGAAGCTGCATTAAAAGACTCTCTCTGCTTAATTTGCATTTTTTTATATTTTTTTTGCATTGGTATCTGTCCCCTATGGCAGTGACTAACTACCCTTTTTTTTAGTAGTTTAGCTATTAGCCCAACAAATGTCCAGAACTTACTAACAAGATTTGCTTTCATAGACTTCAGGGTGATTTGCCATGAAGGTTTGGATTGCCAAAATTCAAACAGGATTTGCTGAACCCTTGGCAAATCAAACCAGGGCAGATTTGGTTAACCCTAAGCATGTACAGGTATTGTTTGTTATGACCACTTTCTTTGGGGAAGAACAACACTTTATACACTTTGGCCTCATCCACACTTCTGGTTGGGGGCAAGGAAGGTGGGGGGGGGCGGTTAAAAACATGCAGGTGAGCCATGTTTTTACCACCCCAACCACTCTCTTTTAAGCTGCAAAAGCAAGTGGACTGTGATGCTTTGCATTATAGCATGGCAAAAATGATTGCTCGCAACTGCATACAATACACACAGCAGTGTCGCAGAGTTAAAGGAATTAAAACAGGCTGTGAGGAGGCGACTTAATGCATCTTCACTGCCTTTTAAATGCCCCCTGAAGAAAGATGCAAAGCAGATTGCTCTTCAGAGGGCACAGCTTCTATAAACGAGCCCTTTCAGTGCGAAGTTCTGGGTCAGAAGTTTCATAATATTCATACAAAACTTTCACTTTAGCAGGCATTCATTTTTCCAATATGCTTTCTGTTTGCGTGCTAAGTCACTAAAAACTGAAATTAGTATTTTTCTTTGGAAAACTGGAGGAAAACCAAAAGGAAAAAGCTAAATGTCTGCATTTTGCTAAAAGACAATCCATAGAAATGCATAGATGACAACTGTAGCATTGGTGATTTGTACTAGTGGCTTATCCCTGCTGTTTTTATGTGATTTGGTTTCTTTCCTGAATCTCGAGAATAATAATGGACACAAAATGACACACTGACATTGCACATTTGTTTTATTATTATTACTATAATATTACAAAAGTCCTTGGAATTCTGAATTACAGGTCCCATACATG